CAGAGCGGGGGCAGAAGTGAAGGGCAGCGCAGACACAAGCAGTGAGTGGGGAGGATTACAGCAGCAGGCCAGATGGTCTGTCAGGAAGTGTGAGGCAAATATCCACGTTCACTTCGTGCCGAAAGGATAGTTTTATAAAGAATGCAATGAGTGCCACCAACTTCGGATGCTACATATTTGCATTTCCCAGAGAAGACTTCAGAGTTGTGAATTAGCCGCTGGTCTGCTAGTCACTGAGAGCTCCGAGCATGCGCGGATCTGGGACACGTCAGTGCTTGATCTTCAAAAGGGATGATCCTTGTGAAACGTCCATTTCTCTAAGGCTGACTCCTCAGGACACAGTTCTGCTACTTCTCTTTGTCTCTCCTAAAGCGTCTTAGAACCCCGCCACCCCTCGTCTACCATGTAGTGGCATGGGTGAGAGAGATGCCCTCCCCTGTCAATCCCCAACCCCACCACACCCCTGCACCTTGCTACCTGTGGCAGATTCCAGAACAAGAGTCGGGGGCGGGGGCGGGGGCGAGGGAATTAGTTTGTCTCTTTGGTTTTTTGTTTGGTTGGTTTTTTGGGTTTTGGTTTTTTGTTGTTGTTGTTTTGTTTTGTTTTGTTTTTCTTTACAATTTGCTAGGGGGCTGCAAGGGCAGATGTGAGGGGACAGGGGGATAAGTGGGGTCAGGGTGCATGACATGAAATCCACAAAGAATCAACAAAAGTTTTTAAAAAGTGCCTTAGAAGTTCACTACTCTTTGTTAAGCACATACATTTTCTGTGTGTGTGTGTGTGTGTGTGTGTGTGTGTGTGTGTGTGTGTGTGCATGTGTGTTTGGAGACAGGGTTTCTCTGTGTAACAGACCTACTTGTCCTAGAACTCGCTCTTGTAGACCAGGCTGGCCTCGAACTCACAGAGATCCACCTGCCTTTGCCTCCCGAGTGCTGGAATTAAAGGCGTGCGCCACCACCGCCCGGCAAGCACACATATTTTCTTTGACTGTCCTCATCATGGAAAATAACATCAGCAGAGCCAAAGCACAAGGGTCATGGCTGCCGTCAGTCTTTAATCCATAGACATCTTGATGGGCCTTTAATTGCACGATTCTTCAACAAGGGATGGAAGGATAAGACCTTCTGGATTACAGCTGCCTTCGGGCAGATTTTGAGCCTCCCCCAGCCTACTCCCTAGCCTGGCTATACATTCCGGTCATGTTTAATATCTCCTGATGTCTGCCTGCCCTCAACAGTCCCCATTACTTCCAGCCATCTGTGAACACTGTGACTATTGCTTAAAATATTATTCCATTTTACTCATCTGGCTAAAATACAGACGATCCTTAGGGCCTGGTTTTCCATCGCACCCTATGACACGCACCTTCTTTGGCATATGGTTACAGAGCCTCCTCCCCTTCTCCCACCACATTGGGCCCATCTGCCACCAGAGCCAATAGTCTACCCACTCGTCTGCTTACTGGACAGTAAGCTCCTTGAAGCGCTGAGTTCTCTTGTTCTCACATGGAAAAGAGCTATAGCAATTATTCGCTTATCGTAGGAAATTAATTATTACATATTGAATGACTCATTCCCCCAAGTATTTGGAAATAGATCCAGGGGAAAAAAAAAAGAAAAAAATACATCTTGAAAGGAAATTCAACATAAATCTTAAAGCTTGGTCAGTCTAGGCTACAGAGTGAGACCTTATCACAAAATAACAAGAAGGAAGGAAGAAAAGAAGGAAGGGAGGGAGGGAGAAAGGGAGGGAGGGAGGAAAGGAGGAAGAAAGGGAGGGAGGGAGGAAAGGAGGAAGAAAGGGAGGGAGGGAGGAAGTCCCCAAAGCATGAATAATTCCTCATGCTAATGTCTTCAGTTGCTTGTTTCCAGTTATAGTAATTTTCTCACGTCAGCCTTTCCACATACAGGCATTGAGTCCTGTTTTCATTCGCAGTATATTGTCCCACTGAAAATGTCATTAAATTCCTGTAGCTATGAACTCCTGGGAACTCCACTGAGACAGTTTTAAGAGGATGGTCTGTGAGGGCCGGCATGGTTTTTGAGATGCTTCTCTTCCTGGACCTTGTTACTTGCCAAGTTTTAATCTTACAAATAATGCTTAAGTGAATAGTTTTGCACTTCTAATTATTGCTCCTTAGTGTATTCTGAAAGTAAAATTATTAGGTTAAAATTTTACAGCTCTAATGGAAGAACGAAATGGAATAATGCTCTCTGGAGACTGGGAAGGGGAGTGGGAGGAGAGACGGAAAGAATTTTAATAAGGCTTCCATGGTCACAGTGAAGAAATTAGTTCTGCATTTCTTAAACTAGACTGGGGTAACTGTTAGAACAATAAGTGATATATCACAAAACGAGTAGAGGAATAAAATCTGCAGATATAAAAAGGATTCTTGTTTGAAGACATGGAAACATTCATTACTTTGATATACTGTGTACGTGGATTAGATTGTCATAATGTGCCATATCAAAGATGCACAAATACTAAGCCTTGGCTTTTAAAAAGAAAACTTTACGTTTCTGCTTGCAATGCTTCAACAAACACATCTCAGAATACTCTTGACTGTAACATTATCTTTTTTAAGAGTGAAGCTTACATTGGCAAATAGGACACTTGGGTTTTACTTGTACTTCTTAGGCATCTGTGTTACACTCCCCTGTGCCTGTTTTTCTGCTGGATTATTTTTCTTGAAGACTTAAAAGCTTTTGCAGGGTTAGGAACACAATCCTGAGACTGAGGAACTTGATGCTGGCCTGCTGCCTCCACATGTAGACACCATGCATGTGAAGCGCTCGACGCTCTGCCTCTAATCCACACCTTCACTGTTCTTGTCTTAGCATTTTAAAAAATTTAAGCTCAGCTCTATGAATTACTCAGTTAGTTTTCTTGCTCCCTTAGATACATTAGATACACATTTTACAACTCAGAAACACACTTGGTCACCGTCCCTTTTTCTGTCGCCTTGATAAGATACACTAACAAGAACAACCTGAGGGAGAAACCTTGAACTCAGCTTGCGAGTACTGGTTAGTCTATCATCGTGGGGAGGTTGAGGCTGCAGGAACTTGGCAGAGTGTGGGGGTCGCCGTTCCACGCCACCCACCTCCCACGAGTTCCATATTGTCCTAGGGGTTAAAACACAAGACACACACACACAGATACAGAGTTCCAGTCATCCTCAAGAAGAGAATGCTCAATTTATTCAACTTAATCCAGGGTTAAATACTTTTGGCCCCAGTAAAGGAAAACTCCTCCCACCCAGAGGGGGCTGGGGAAACTGGCCTCAGGCAGGTGGTCGAGGGTGCAAGGCAATGTCAGACAGGTTAGATGGGCCTTGGAGCCTGAGCTTCTTTTAGGCAGGTTGAGAAATTATCATTTTAAAGTAAAATAGACCCCTCAGGCTATTGTACCAGGCTGTAGCAGAAGCAAGGACAGAATTTAGCAGGAAGCTTAGCTGGTTAGCGTAAACATTACTTGCATCCTGTGTTTTGGCCTCAAGGAACAGGGAGGACAGGGCATCACAGCAGAGCTGGTCACATCCACAGTGAAGAGTAGAAAGAGAATGGTTGTTTGTGTTCAGTTCAGGACCCCACTTTTACACAAGTCAGGATTCCCAGCTAGGGAATGGTGTTGCCCATGGTGCCTGAGTCTTCCAACCTCAATTAACAATTCATGTGGTCAAGATAATCTCCCAAAGACATAGAATTATTTCATTGTTACTTTGGAACTGTAATTTTGCTACTATTATGAATCATAATGCAAATATCTGTTATGAGACCCTTGTGGAGGGTCACTCAACCTGTAAAGGGGTCACGACCCACTGATCTTGACAATTCCCTTACCAAGACCCTCTTCCCAGGTGGCTGTCGATTATGTCAAGCAGACAATTAAAATTGATCATCACAACTTGGACAATATATTTTCTTCTAACTCTTGTTGTTACTGATTTTGCAGGGGTATTGAATTTGTGATGTTCTTATCCCTGTGGTCAAATATCTGACCAAAGCAGCTCAAGGAAGGAAGGGCTTATTTTGGCTACAGTTTGAGACACAGGCATCTTGGCAAGAAAGATGTAGCTGCAGTTTGAGGCACCTGCTCACACTGAACTTTCTGCCAAGCAGCAGGGAAAGGCAGTGCTGGTTTGCAGGTTGCATTCTCCCTTTAACTCGGTCTATGACAGCGTTCACAGAAAGGTTGCCACCAGCACTTAGTATGCATCTTCATATCTCTGTAAGGCAGTCCAAAAACTCCTATCCAGACATGTACAGAGACGTGTCTCATGGATGATTCTGGATCCTGTCGAGCCTGCAGTCTGTATTAGCATCAGAGATGTGTCTCCTAGGCGATTCCAAACCCTGTCCAGCCAGCAGTCAGTATTAGCATCCTGGGAATGTTAAGTTTCTGCTAGTTTGGTTTTCCTCTTTTGAGACAGGATCTCACTAAGTGGCTCAGGTTGGCCTCAAACTCAGTCTTTCCACTCCTACCTCCCCAGTGAGGAGATTACAGACAGGCACCACCAGGGCCAGTCTCTATCAGTTTTCTGCTGTGATGGCTTTCATTTAATGTTCTGACCCATTTAAAATTTACCTCTGGCTGTGTTTTGAGGTGAGGTTTGAATCAGAAGTTGTATAGAACAACCATTTTTTTCTAAGACTTTCTCACAACTTTTAGAGAAATGCTAGTGATTGAGATAAAGAGATTCTGGCTCCATGTTTTAAAATGCATACTGCACTTCCAGAGGTACAGTATGTGTGTTTAGTCCCCAGCATACACTTCAGGCATCTCGCAACTGCTTATAACTCCAGGGGATCTAATGCCTCTGGTATCCATGGACACCTGCACCCATGGACACATACCCACACAAAAATCCACATCACACATGTAATTTAAAAATTAGATCAAAAAAAAAGAAAGAAACACTACTAGGAGCAATCACACTGAAAAGAAGCAGCCAAAGATTTAGCTTGATGCTGACCGTAAACTTTGCCTTGTTTCTCCAGGTGATCAAGAGCCAGCAGTGAGTAGTGACTCCGACATCTCATTGATCATGGCCCTGGAAGTGGGACTGTCTGATGTAGAACTTTCCACTGACCAAGACTACGAAGAGGTGAAATCTTGAAATCGTAGAAACAGAAAAGAGAAAACACAGGACCCAGGGGCCCAGGAAGGAAGCATGCCCAGAGACTTGAACTGGATACCCAACCTTCAGTTCGCCATGGCAACCCCAGAGCACTCTGTTCACGGGTGGTAATGAAAGCAATATCCAAAGTCTGCAGAATCAGGATGCCGGTTCCCATCTCTGCAACACTCTGTGGCCTTGGTGTGGAAGTTGGAAGGTGGATTCCTCCACATCCGTACAGACACGCAGCCGAAGGTCCTGCCACTGACTGGAAGGAGATCCTTACCGCTTCTTTTAGCGTCTCCCATCTTCCTGCTCTTATTTGGAGAAGATGGCTTCATTCCCCTGACAATTTCTTCTGAAAGAGGATGTGCAGCTTACATCTACTCCTTTCTTTTCCCTGTGATGCACTCCAGTCCGTGGACAGAGGTCCTGGCTGCTGCTCCAGTGATCAGTTTGTGCCGCATCTCTGAGATTTATAGTCACGGGCTCTCAGTGTGAAGTGTATATGACCTTGAGAATTGCCTCAGCACCCTGAAATGGTGGAAGGCCAGAGTCCACCAAGTGTCTAGCTCCCTCCTCTAAGTGGGTCCTGACGAGCCCTGCGGCCAGAGACAGCAGTGCTAAGTTCTGGACCTGCTGAATCCGTTACTCTTTGTTTTCACCTGCATCATGCTGGGCTCCGCCTGCCATGCTCTGCCCAGCATCACCTTGGCAGCGAGAACTATCAGGGACGAGGCTGGCTCATCTGACTTCAGGGTCTTAGACTAAAACTCAGAAGTTCCCTGCAGGGCCAGAATATAAATGCTCAGAGTGTGTGTGTGGAACTCTAAACCTAGTTTAAAAACCTGACAGCCCCATGTTCCCAGGGCAAGGAAGATGGCTGTTGCCCTGGTTGCCCCCAAGGCCTCAGCAGTTTGTCACCTTTGTAAGTGAGTTCTGTGTGTCCAGGCTAAAGAAAAGATGCAATCTTTTTTTTAGGTCACTGGTAACCAGGTGTAAACTTACTTCCGGTTCCGTTCTGTTAATCCTCATCAGCCTACACGGAAGGCGCTAAATAAATCCTTAGCAGTTTGCAGCTCAGGTCTTCCTGAGCGCACCCTCGTCCCAAGAGGAGGATGAGGTATGATTTGATACGGTCTGAACCAAAAAGTACATCATGGGGAATTGCTAGATCGAGTTTCTCCTGACTGTGAGCAACAAATAAGATAAAAAGAAAAAAAAAATAACCAATGACTATCTAAATCCACCTGTACTATAAAGTGGTTTATGGTTTTATTCTTTTTGTTTGTTTGCTTGTTTGAAACGATGACAAAAATGTGCTGTTTCTCAAGTGGGCAGTTTTGTGATACGTGCAGCCTCTACAGAGGCAGAGGTAGCCCCGTGTCACTGGGCAACCAGGAAAATCTCCTCATCATCTTAGCGGTTGGCAAGGTCACCCAGAGGCTGGGATTAACCAGGAGAGCGAGCTCTTCCCACTGAGCTGTGTTTGTATATTTGATTTGGGTTTTTCCACCTCATTACACTAATACTCAGGCAAACAGGGCTTGGCCGAGCTGTAAGTCCTTGCTGCCCACTGGAATTTTGAGCTCAGGCTGAGTTCTCCACTGTTCTTCTGCTGGCTGCCTTTCATGCGCTCCTGTTTGCTGGTGTGTGAACGCACAGCAAGGGGAAGGACCTTCAGAAAAACCTCTTCTGCCGATGGTCCTGCAGCTCCCATGGTCAATTCCAGCCTCCAGCGGTGGCGAAGATCCATAGCAAGGATGCAGGCGAGCGCTGAACCAGAGTCTGTGCACAAGGAGCTTAGCAGATGACTCCCATGGTTCCCTCTTTCTTGGACCCCTCTCTTGCACTTCTCCAGTGGGATCTACTGTGAGCACAGCTGCGCACACAGCAAATGCTGGTATGAAGTCTAAGGAGATGAGGGTAATTCAACAGCAAAAGAAATACCAGCTATACTGCATGCCCAGGGAAAAAAGGGTCTGGTGGGCGTTTTCCTGTGTTTGATGGGCATTTTCTGGCCAGTGGTCAGGTAAATCGCTGAGGACGTTGAGCAAGCCCTTGACCTGATATCCTTTAGGATGCTGAGTGGGTGGCGAAGGACCCAAAAGGTCTGTCCTTTGTACCACAACCTTCCCTGCCTCCTTCCACAGTAAGACACTCTGACCTGGGGGCCCAGTGATACCCAAATGGCAGTGTAGCCCCTAAGTGCAAACTGAAAAGACATTTGCAGACATGCAGCTTTCTGCGGCAAGTGTCTGCACCAACTCTGCCCCGTTGAAATACAGCCCAAGTCACATACATTTTTTAAGCTTTCCCATTAGTCACATTTTAAGAAGTAAAAAGAAACAGGTGAGAATAATTTATTAATATTTTTATTTAACCCGATATTATTGTTTTGACATACAATTGATATGGAAAGTATTTGGAAACTATTTTCCTCTCTTTTTTATTATATCTTCTAAATCCGTTGTGTCTTTTACACACACAACACATTTCAATTCTTACTAGCCACAGCTGAAGCCTTCAGTAGTCACATGTGCCTAGTGGCCTGGAGATGCTCCAGAATCCTCCCGAGTGTTCCTGGCTCTGACAGAAGAAAAGGGGGAAGAAGATTACCTCAGTTTCAGAGAGAACCAGACTCCACTGAGCCACCTAAGGAGAGGCCAGGGGTGTACTTGTTTTATGATTAATATTGGTTCAAATAGCCTTTACTAACTTCCTGTGAACTCCCTAAACACTAGTGTCCACTATCACCAACTGTTACTTCTCTGACAAGTTGTTTAAAAAAAACAACAAGACAACCGGCCATATTGATTTGGTGCTTCAAAGAAAGTACAGCCTCGCTTCTATGACAACGCTTGAGAGTCCAATTACACCCTCACTTCTATGACAACCCTTGAGAGTCCCATGTGACACTTAGCCAAAGAGAATCTGCCTCGACCCTAATTCCTCCTCCTTATGGCTGGGAGGTTCTAGAGAACAGAACTCAGACACCCAAGGAGACGCGCAAACAACTGCATACGGGGGGGCCCCCCATATCGGATCATGTGGCCTTGTCAAGAGGGGTCTGGGAGCTGTGACCATCCAGCTTGGTGAATGGTGAGCATCTCCCTGTTCGGCGTCTCCCATGACACACAGACTGTGGGAGGCAACGAGCCTTGAATTCCTTCAGAGTTGTTTTCAGAATGGCTTTCTTCAAAGTGGTTAGTCACCCTGGAAGAGTCGATGCCTCCTAAACGCAGCGTTTGAACCCTGACCAGCCCCTAGGGCTTGGTGGAGCCTTCAGTATCAATTCTGACCTCACAGCCAAGGGAGAGACGCAGACTAGAGAAAGTAGATGGTGACTGTAACAGAGGCACCTAGATATTCAATACTTCATGTAACATCCTGGCAGTGGAAATGGGTCTCTGTCCAGAAAAGCTTTTGTGACTTTTGCTTTAGAATTTTTCTCGTCTGTGGGTATTCGTGGTGTGGTCCTATTAAGAATGGCTGTGACCGGTAACCAAGTCCGTCACAGTCCAGACATCCCTGGGGCTGCCACACTTTCAGAACCAGAAAGGATGACAGAGTCTGCCTAGGATTCGTTGTAAGCTTAGTTGGTGCTGAAATAAATTACAGAGTAAGACCTGAATGGCATTTAGTTGTCCACTGAATGCAAAGGCTTGGCCGAACATGGAAATTACCAAATAAAAACTTTCCAGAAGCTTAGAACATAAGTGTCACACCCAGTATGAGGAGAGGGCCCAGCCTTCTGCGGTACTGAGGCCACTAGGCTGATGTCCTGTAGCGGTCTTACCTTCTCTTCTTTGGGCTTCTTCTGTGCTTTTCTGTGTTTTGATGGCCTGCTTTTTTGTACACGCATGTGCACACACACACACACACTTTCTCTATCACGCTTCCCATTTCCTGCCTCCCTCCCATTCTACACTTTATTCCATCACATTTCCATATAAGGAATATTCCAGTAACAGCACCTGCTGCTGCTCCCTTTCCAGACTCTTTGCAGAAAGTTCCCTGAGTAAATACTAACATGCCTACAATTTCAGAATGCTGGGATCTGCTATCTTTGTTTGTTTGTTTGAAACAGGGTTTTTCTGTTGCTTTGGAGCCTGTCCTGGAACTCACTCTGTAGACCAGGCTAGCCTCAAACTCACAGAGATCCACCTGTCTCTGCCTCTCTGCTTGGATTAAAGGTGTGCGCCATCACCACCCAGCTAAGGAATCTGCTATGTTACATAACCAGAATCTATAGCCTTCTAGTCCACGTGCCCCAGAAGCAGACTCTGTGGCTTCTGTATCTGACATCTGCCCAAGCTCCTCATTGGCTAGCTTAACTTGGGCAAAGAGGAACGAGGAACAGGGGTGCTACTCTTCCAAGTTCAGCCACTGCTTTCTTAAGCAGCTCAGAGTGGACCAAAGAGCAGGGCTGATAGCTGCATTTAACAGGGGAGGTGGCCTAAAGGACATCAATGAGGGGGTAGAATCCCAGGTCAAAGCAGGGCTGGCTTAGTGGGAAGTCTCTCTGGATAAAAAAAATGCCCTGCCCTGGGTTCAGAGCTCATCAGTAGGTCCCAGGGAGAATGGGTGTTCAATAATTTAATATGTATGAGTTAAAACACTCTTGAATTGCAAAGAAAATTGGAATAGCAGAAAAATAGGTTAGTTTTGAAAAGCAGGACTCTGTCTCTCAGTGCTGTGCAGTTCTTCTCGCTCTGCTTTGTCCCCAGCACACAGCCTTTTATAGCAGGGACAGTAGTATTCAAAGTCCGCTAGATAGGCAGCCATTTTGTCCCACTGTGAACCTTTTGGCGGCATGATGCTGCCCCAGAACTAATGAGGTGAGCGCAGATCCTAGACCAGCCTGTCTGTCACTCACTCCCTCTGCGTGTCTGCATCCTTCCTGATCAACACTCTCTCTGTCATATCCCTCATAACTGCGTGGCTTTTTTCATGGACCTCAGTTGCCAGCTCCTCTAACCCATGGCACAATTGATGCCCACACTCACTGCAGAGATGTTTGCTCCCTGGTCATTTGGTTCGTGTTCATTGGTGGTGATTAGGTGGGAGTGTGCTTCTTGGAAGAGCTCTAAACACAGGCAGACAGAAAATCTGCACAGGACAGAGAGAAAGTTGAGTTACCCAAAGACATTCCTGGATAGAGAGTCTCTGGGTTTGCCATCCTTAGACCAGCGGCGGCCTTGGGGAAGCCAGGAAGATGTGAGGACCGTGTGTGCTAAATAAACCAAAGACTGAGCGCCACCCAAATGGACACATGTTCTTCCACAAACTAGCTGAATTTTCTCCTGATGTTCTCACCAACAAAGTCAAGATGGACCTTTAGTGGCTTTGATTTTGGGGGGCTGCTTCTTGGTCTTACTAAATCCATAACTCTACAGTAAACAAACTGTGGCCTTGGTAACGTGCCCTCTTTAATCTCTAGTGTTTAGCCCCTTTGTTCCTTCAAAACTTCCAGACAAATCTACCACTTATATTGAACCCAGAATATTGTTTCTTTTTTTTTTGAGAATGTGAAGACTTTAAACAGCCAAAGAATTTTCGTGTATAAGAGCTAGTTCACTAGTGTATCCTGCTCTTTGAAGAAAATACCAAATTGTCGTCTGTAGGGCTAGAACAGATGAAGGTCAGTGCCCGAGCTTGGCACTCCAAATTTGTGTTGGTATTGTCAGTGCTGTAGGATGTTATTGTAAGGGGCAGAGCGCCCTCTGCTGGAACAATACCTAGATTCTTTCAGCACGTTTGTTTGTCATGGATCTCCATTTCAGCAATGTGTGTCTTGCTTTTTATCCATACCATTCCCTCAATAGTGTAGGATTTGTTAACACTTCTCACATGAGGAGAGAATGTCATGAACTCTAAAGAGCCGTAGGCGACCGCAAGGCAGACCTGTTTTAAAACGTTGCTGTGTTCTGTTGTTGTCTGGGGAGAGGTTTCCGGCTGGGGTGTGTCAGGATTATCAGCAGAGGTCTGTTCTACTTCCTCGTGTGAAATCTCAAAGGAAGATCAATAAAAGGACGTCTTCCGTGTGAATGTAAACGGCGTGAAATACGTGTTTGTACGTGTACGGAAGCTTTCAACTTACTAATAGAAAAACGATTGTGCTATTTTATAATTGGGAAGCGCGGTAGAGGTGGGAGAGGGTGGGGGTGTGCTATTTTTATAGTGGGATGTCCATTATGCTTGGAAAACTTAAACTAATTTTTGTATTGTGAGACTACATTCCGTCTATTCCCGGGGTGGGGGTGGGGCGTTCCTTGAAACTCTCATCAGGTGGAAGGAAGCGTTTTCCTGATTTGCAGGAGAATCTCGAGTCTATATGGCACCAGGTGTGGCACACATGTCTGTCACCTGCAGACCATAACCAGCAATTGTCAGGTTAAAAGCAGGGGCACAGAGTAGGGTGGCATTTTTTTTACCCTCTGTGTAACACATTATTTATGACTTTTTTTAAATTCTACAAAAAATGGATTTGCAAGTCTGAAATAATCCAGCATGACATCATAAGCCTGTCTCCAGCATCACCACCCCCAAGAGCAAAGGGAAAATCCAGTGGCTTTAATGTTCCTCCCTAACATGAATTATGTGCTTCCATTGTAAAAGAATGCGTCACAGTCAGTATTTTATTGAGCTTGCCCACAAGGTCACGTTGGCAGGTCCCTGGGTCAAGCGCAAGATGGTCCCATCCCCGTGTTTCTCCTCGCCTCATAGTCAGAGGACATGAGGTGGACTTTTCTCAGCTTCTTTGTCCTCTGATGCACAAATTACAAGAACAGCTCCAGGTGGTTTCCCATGGAGAATTTTGGACTTGGAGTTTGGGTCACTCTTACGTGCCGAAATATGGTGGTGGCGCGTTCTACAGCCATTCTGGGAAAACCTCATGTCCCCTGCAGCCCCTGCATATGTACGTGCCTAGGCGGGGCCGTGTGTAGTTTCTGTTTGTGGTCTGTCTGCGTGTTTACATGCCTAGCCAGGGCATCATTTCTGTTTGTGTCTGCCTATCTGTTTCCTTCCTTCCCACCCTAGACACCAGCCCTACTTCCCTTACGCACTTTATATCTCTTTAAACACACAAGAAATTGGAAGAAGAAAAAAAACCAACACTTGACTTTAAAGGACTCAGTCTTCTATTAGGAAACACAGATTCTGTTTCGTTTCCTCGTCTTCTTGGTATGCTGGGAAAGCATCTACGGTTCGTCTGGTCCTGGGCTAGGGTGCAAGGTTAAGGGTGAGAGTTGGAAACATTCACTCAGACATGACCTTTCGTTATATTGAAGACCATAATGTAAAGCAGTGCAGCTGTGCTCTGCGTACTCAAAGGTTCTATCAAAGAACTTAACGTGAGGATTGTGGCATCCAGGAAGTTTTTGTTTGTTTTGTTTTGTTTTCTAATAAAATGGAAAGAGATCTTGTGGTTGTGCTATCCATATCCCCTGATTCCGTCACCTCTCACCCAGGGAGGCCCTATGGGTACCAAGACATCGATATTTACTGTTAAATCATTATTATAGCCAAAGAGCAAGACATATTAACAACTGACTCATTTCTATCAGGTAGGTCAAGGATCAAGCACACGACCTCTTCACCGATCTGTACCTTCAAATGAGTCGATTAACGAGTCAATGACACTAGGCTGGGGCCATGGCTCAGAGAAGAAAGGCATTTGCTGTCAAGGTTGATGACCCGAGTTCAAACTTAAGCCAGAATCATGGAAGGAAGGAACCAAATCTGAACATTCTCTCACGTGCAAATGCACTGTGACGCACACACACACACACACTAAATAAGAGATAAATTAATGCACTAAAAATTTTACAATGCAGGGAAGTGGTGGAGCACACCTTTAATTTCAGCACTCAGGTGGCAGAGGCAGGCAGATCTCTGAGTTGAATTCAGCCTGGTCTACAAAGCCAGGGCTCCTACACAAAGAAACCCTGTCTTGAAAACAAAAGTTAAAAGCTTTAGCCTTTTGCAGGAATAACTGACAAGTTCACTGGCAAGGCTGTGGGGAGGGCGCAGACTGGGGCTGGGTACCATCTAAGGTTCCATTTCCAAACCCATGGGTTTGCATTTTTAATCATGGCTGTGCTCTGGGGGTCTTCCAGGCAGTCTGTGACAGCCAAGTCACCGGACTGGCCTTTGAGCCCCAGTGTTCCAACAGTCTGCACCTCGCTAGGGCTAGGTTTACAACATTGTGCCTCCACATCCAACATTTTCTTCTTATGGTGAACCTGATATCCAGATCCTTGCACTCAGAGGACAATTGCTGTGAGAACTGAACCCTTTCCCCAACCCCCCTAAATAATGTTAAACAGCAGAACCTTGGGTTTCCCTCAGGGTTTGCAAAGGAAATGTAAAAGAGGTGGGACAGGAGGCAAGGAAGGTAAATGGCGCTCCTGACCCCTGAATCACCCACGTGAAATCAGCAGAACCTCGGGGTGGTGCAGACCCGGCAACTGCCCCTCAGGATCCCCAGCTCACGCCTTTTAGGGGCAGGTCAGTCTGATCCCTCCAAGTCACTCCCCACCATCAGGAGGTGTGGACCCCAAGATGACACTGTCAAACTCCAGCATTTAGCTTTGGCCTCTGGGAGCTAGTGTTGACGTACATAGCAGTATCTTCACAGCATAGCATCCCCAGGGACTCCAGGATGGTAGATAATCCAAGAGATCGTGAGGAATGATGACTAGACTCGAACGCACCTAACCTTTAGCTTCCATCATGTAATTTTTATCTTTCAGACACCTATCATTCACCATTCCTCTGGCATATAAAGACAAGAAGCTATTACGCAGAATTCAGGCACCATTGTTCTCAACCCCAGCCTTCACATCTTTCCAATAGAGCAGGACTTCCTCTGGAGGGAGCATGTGCTGGCGTACACTTAAAATTACAGCAGAGGCCCAAAGTCAGTGGGGTAGAGATCAGGTACCAGGCAGGCCACATCAGCTGACCAAGGCTTTCCGAGACTGCCGTAAAACCATCCTGTAGCTTTGCGTCCCGGCTTCCCCTGATTCTGGACAGTGACAGAATATTTTCTCAGGGATTTGTTTTTCAACCCTGCCCTGGACACGACCACCTGTGAAGTGCATTAGCATCCAAACTGAACATCCCTGCCAGGCATCGTTTCCCAGATGGTCCCTGTGTGCTCCACAGAGCCTGGCCTGCAATGGCTGATTGGGGTTGTCAACTTGACTGTTTAGGAGACACCCCCACCCACACCACCCCCATCCTCTGGAGAAAGAAAAGCCCCTAGAGCTTCATGGAAACCAGCCAGGCCATGGTACCCTGTGACTCTTGTTCTGAAAAAATAAAAAAGATTTTAGTTAGTTTCTAAGTCTCAGTGTATTTGAAAGTAACATTGGTATTGGTTCTGCTTTTTTTTTTTTTTTTTTGGTTTGTTTTGTTTCATTTTTTCCTTATTTCAGTGATACAAGAAGAGAATTAGATAGGGAGAAATGGGGTGGGGAGAGGATAGGGAGGGAGAGGAGTGGGTGAAGGGATGGTTGTATAGGATGAGGTGGAAGAGAGGACTGGGGATACAGTGGGAGAGGATTGGGTATAGTAGGGGAGGGGAGAGTTAGGGAGGGTGCAGGGAATGGGGATGGGACAGAGACTTGGGAATGTGTATCCTTGAGAGGACTGGGGAGTGGGAGGATGGAGAGAGGGTGCAATAGGGTGGGGATGGGGGGAGATTGAGGGAGGATGCGGCTGGAGAAGAGGCGAGGCCATGAGGTATGGTAGAAGATCAGGGAATGATGGGAAAGGGAGAGGGGTGGGGAGATGGGAGAGTAATCCAATTTCTCTTTCTCTGTGATAATTACCACCCATGTTAGGTGCCTGCCGATGAGGTATCCTGGTGACTGAGGGGGCTGCATTGCTATGACTCATTTCAAACAATAGTCCCATTGTCCTCCGTGATTCAACAACAGACATTGCTTTAACTTTTACTTGTGAGCACTTGCTGGCTCGTCTTCCTCAAGGCCCACGGTAATCCTTGACTGTGTGGAGAGCAGGAGACAATGGCCTTTCCTCTGTGCTACCGAATATCAGAGAGCCCTCTGCTCACCCTGACTGCATCTCGGGATTTCACAGAAGCCTGCAGTTGAAAAGGATGCCAGCCCAGGCCTCCGGGGAGTGAACACACACATCTACAGGCAGGAATGCTGGGAGGTGTGGGCTGAGCCCCTCCAGTCCTCGGATCCTACCACAGCTTGCTGAACCTCCCTCTGATTCGAGTCCTAACCCAATCCATCCCCCACTCTGTGCCTCCTGGAACACCCCTACCTTTGTTCTTTGGGATCATTTATTAAACGGTTGAGGGAGAAACCTGAGCCAGTGTCATTGGCAGCCTCAACATTTGGTTGCTATGAGAACTGTATACACAACAAAGCTGTCATTGATATTATAGATCTTGTGGGAGCCAAGGGTCTCAAGTTTCTAAGACTAAAGCATAACTCGGAGTTTGGAAAAGGTATCCATACTATAAATAAGTGTGAGCGCAGACCTGAGTTACAGACTAGGAATACAACAGAACTGGCTTGGGGAGAAGCTGTCACCATTTGACAAAAGGCCTGCGGCTTTTGCCGCCAGCACAATTCTCCACAAGCCTAGGGAAACCTTGGCCTGGGGTTGAGGGAACCAGGACTCATCCTTGCTGCTCCCTTATGCAGGGGAAAGGGAGGTGGCTCATTTGCACAGTCAAGGCCCACACTCCTGATCTCAGGCCCCTGGGAGCTGCGTTACTTCCACAGATTGGCTGACACCTCCTCAGCTCAGACGCCCAGGCTGGAATACAGGAAAAGCTGAACTTGCTGTTTGTTAAACTGGTATGTTTAGTCAAGAAACGGGATAGTTGTAGCTATATTACATAAGTAGAGAGACACACATACACATACATGCACACACAAACACACATACACACACATGCATACACATACATTCACACATATACACACGTACACACATATACACACGTATACACATATACACACATACACGCATACACATACATCCACACATATATACACACATGCACATAAATACACACATGCACACATATACATACACATGCACATATGCGCACACATACATCCACACATGTACACAAACATGTGCACACATGCATGTACACATACATACATATGCATACACACACAGCCCTCAAGGTGAGTCCTTAAGGAGTGTTCTCTACTTTTATCGCTGCAAACTAGAGATCCCAAGGTCTGTTATTCCTTCTTACACTTAGTCCTGCAGAGTATGTCATCATCACACAGGGCTTTCCAAACTGGCTCACCGACCGCAGCTGCCCTTCCAAGAACAGCTCCTGCTCTCACTCCCGGGCCTGTACAACAGGAAGTCAAGGAGGGGCGTTCCTGCCCATAAGTCACAGAAAAGATGCTGAGAGAAACTTCCCTCACACCAAAAAGCAAACATGTGTGCTCCTCCAAAACGAAAACCTGAGCTGGTGGGAAAGTGAAAGAAATTCCTGGTCACCAAAGTGGAAAGACAGGAAAGCAACTGGACAACCCAGAGGGAGCAGGACCGCGAAAGCGAGCTCATCCTGCACGTGTGTGGACCCCTCCACCAGTGCCCTGGCTGACTTGCTCCAGAAGCTTCTTCCTGGAAAGATAAGAGTGCGAATGTTTTAGGTTCCGTGGGCTGCACACGAGTTCCTTTACTTACTTTCATTTTTGTTCTTTTTAGGGTCCACTCAACATTTCCAGAGCATTCTTCATGCAAAGCACACACGTGCTAACACAAGATGGCTGTACACTCCTGTTTTAGATGACAAGGTCAGAATCAGAGTCCCTGGCAAGACCTGGGGGCTGGGAATGATGGCCTTGGTTCTAGAGAATGCAGGGGAAAGACGGCTGTCTCTTTCCAGAGATGTCGCCACAGACCAGCCTTCCTGTGGGTGATATTCCAACACCCAATGACCTTCACTCCCTGAGCACCTGAGATGCACACTTAGCTAAGATCATCACATACCAATAGTGCACCAAGTAATAGGTCACACCAAAGGCAGCTCCTTGCTGGAGAAATACGCTTTAAACCCAGGTCTCAAAGAAATGCTAGCAAGCCAAATTCCAAGAACTCTAAATTCATGACCAGAAATCCCAAAGCAGCTGCCATGCCAGCAATCCCGGCACCTTGAAGGCTGGGCCAGGCTGATCATGAGTTTGAGGCTGGCCTGGAATACATAGCAAGATCTTCCTCAAAAATAAGGAAAATTAAAAACTCAAAATACAAGAAGAGACGAGATATACTGGGAAATAAAGTACAAAGAACGGTGATGTGGGAAATGCCAGGGACAGGATACGTAAGTCTTCTAAGGAAACTTCCAGCTTTCTAAGGTATCCTAAAGTCAGGGAAATGCCCTTAGCATTATCTTAGGACTTGGCTGC